CGTTGTCTCCTGGCGAACGCGTTCGCGTTTTCATTGACGGGTTTTTGGTGTTGGTCTGTTGTGCCGAGGCAAGAGGGGAAGGGGCGAGCGTCTGTGCGATTTGTCTTAGTGATCTTGCCCCATTTAAGCTCGCCTGGTTTTTCCCAGCCTTATCTCGCAAAGCAAGCAAGCAAAAGCTACTGGGGAAGAATGAGTGATGGGTGGTTATTTTGTGAGAGGAGGCTATACAAGTTCTTACGTAAAACACGGGGACTATGGCGCATTCGAGAACATGTTTTCCTCCCTTGTGCCTAATACTTAGCTGTCACAACGTGTTCTGTTGTGGATAAATGAAAGTTAATCAAAAGGTAGATGTTTCACTAAAAGCATGGCTTCTTCAGGAGGCTAAAATACTGTTTTGAAGGGTTGAGTATAATAAATGCTTATGAATTAAAAACAAAAAGGCTCAAAATCGCTTGTATTATGTCGATATTTTTTTTGGTTAGTGGAAAGGTAGAAGGCCAGCCCAATGGTGACACAATCCCAGCTGAGCAAGCCAACCCTTCAGATGACACTGTTGCTGGTGCTGGGAGTCGTCAGAATGATCAGATAGTGCAGAAAATAGAGGAAGTGCTCTCTGGAGCCCTTGATACAGAGCTGCAGTGCAAATCAGGTAAATGAAAACACACTTGGCAAATATGTTCTTGTTTAACAAGGTTGTTGTAGTGCTTAAAATTGAATCAGTTTTACAGAGGTGAAAAAGTAGTTTTCAGTACTGCTTCTCTCATCGAGCTTCATCTGACAATTGTATATTTATTGTAATGTTTGTTAAGTATTTTTTTTGTCTGCTATGATTTACAGCAATAGGTGGACAGAGAAATGCATAATTTAAAGATTAAAGCTGGTTATTGTCTGAAAGCATTACTTAGTTTTGGAAAAAGTTATTTTTCTTTTCTCTCCATTACAATAATGCTAAAACATATAAATAATATCCATATGTATAATTGTGCTTTATTTTGTATATACCTACTTGAGGGTCTCAGTGAGCAGTTCTTACTAACAAAGCTGGTACTGATGGATAGGAGCATCATTTGTTGTGTTGCTTTGGATTAGTTTGAAAGATTATTTCTAAAAATAATTTATTAGAATTCCCAACTGCATGATTAACTGTTCTGTCAGAGTAAGATGCTTTGTTGTTTTAAGATGAAAAATGCACTTATCTTTAAAATGTAGATACTCAGATTGCAGTCTTCCAAAGGTTAACAGACTTTTATGTAGCAATCTCATAACCTCCATAAATTACTGGATTTATTATGCCAAAAAATTGCGTATGAGTAACCCTTCTCATGGGACTAGTCCTTTCTGTAAAATTTCTGAATCAGGGGAGTTAGTGAGATGAAGGGTCTAATTACTGCATTTCTAATTTTTTGGAGTTGAAATATAGGTAACTGCTATGTGCTCGGTAAGTATAGTTCCAGAGTGATACTATTTTTTTTTTTTAATAGGCAGCGTAGAAAATTGTTTATTTCAGAGATTCTGTTTGCAAGGTTTTAGAATTGCTTTTCTTTCTTTTATGCACAGTGGCTTGTTTACCTTGAACATTTTCAACAGTCTTTCAACTTAAACTATCCAAGCAGCAGTTTAAGCTGACATCTGTTTTTTTTCTTTCGTATTTTTGTTCTTCTGTTGTGAAAGAATAAGGCAGGCTAACATGGTAATAAATGAGACTTATTAGCCTGGAAGTTAATAAAATTAACCTATAGTAAACGTTCCCACTGTTCATATCTGGAAAGAAGTTAACGTTGCTGTTGGACAACAGAGATTATCTGAAAATGCTGTGTAGAAAAGGTCATTTGACTCTGCTTCATTGTCCTCTTTCATTACATCCACAACAGTGTTGGTGGAAACACTCTTTTTTGTTAAGCTGTTTAGTCCGGAAAAACGTGTGCTTAAAACTACCTGAGGTACTTGTCTATGGAACGTTAAGTCATGTTCGTTTAATAGTCTTGGAATTGCTAGCCGTTTTTGAATGATTTTGCATGGTTCACTTGAAAGAATATGCTTTGTAATCACAGCCAGATTATAATTAGAGAACCAATATTGCTGCACTGGTCAGTATAAATGTAATCATTGAAGATGACATGCAAGCAAACTTGAATTTATAGTTTATATCTAACAGAAATTATAATAAGTTGCCCTAAATAAAAGTGCCTTTCTCGTGAAAACATGGCCCTAGATCCAAAGAAGAGTAAGACCCTAGCACAGGTTAAATTCGGAGGGAGCTGGGGTATAGAGTTAAAAGAAGGTGATTGAAACCCCAAGTCTTCCTTTTTCTTTCCCCTTCAGTGGTTCCTTGTCCCTGCAGTCACCTGAATTATTAGTTACTTTACCATTCGAAGCAAAAGCTCTATTAGGTACTTGCAGGTTTGCAGTTGCTTGTGGCAACTGCAGTTGTAGTCTGAGCAGCTGGTTACCTGCCGTGCCTTAAAGCTTGTTTGGGATTGGGGAAGTAGATGCTGTTTCCCCAGATTTGTTTGAAGAACTTGGTCAGTGAGGAACTTAATCAGTAAATACACTTAGATCTGATTTCTAACACACTAGTAATATTGATTTCACTCGCAAGTTATAGTAGCGGATAGTGGGCCGGCCACATTTTATACAATAAGCATACCACCCCTTAGATAATTTTTCTGGAAAACGGGAGTTGTTGTTTCACTTCTATGTGCAGCTTGGTGTAGATTAAAAGCACATCTTCAGCCTCCTGCAAGAATGCACTGCCTAGTTGAATATAGATGGAAGTATATCCAGCTCCTTTGTGGAAAGAGTCGTGTTCCCACTGGAACTGTGTTGCTGACCAAGAAGATTTGGTTAACTTTTTGAAAGAAGCATTAGTTATTTTTACTTAATGTAATTCTTGAGAGGAAGGGTAAGAGGGCTGAAAAGGGAGTGTGTGCTATTTGTGTGTGGTAGTTTAGTGAAGGAGGCATGAGTTTCAAGTTTAAATTGTGTTTTGTACCTCTGTCCATATACTTGATGACTAATCTAAAAGGATTTTTAAAATGTAGTTTTAATAACATTTACAAGGCACGTATCGTTTTTTCTAGATGTAGACAAAAATACTGTGAAAAGTAGTAATCAGTCTACAAAAAGAAGCTCTACTGCTGAAGATGAAATTCCTAGGAAAAAATCAAAGAAGAACAAGAAACACAAAAGCAAGAAGAAGAAGAAAAAGAAGAAGAAAAGGAAGAAAGAGAAAAAACATAAAAAGCAGCCAAAGGAGTCAAAGTTGAGTACACGTCATGGAGAACCTGCAGACTCTAAGCCTGCTTCTCAGTTGATGCCAGAGAAATCAAGCTCCACATTGAGTGTACAGCATGGAGGATTTGGAGATGCAAATCTGACTGTCCACATACAGCCAGAACTGTGCTTAAAAGCAAGTGAGGAGCTTGATAGACAGGCTTTAGGACTTGTTTCTCATTCAGGAACTGATTCTCAGCAATCTACGGAAGATCTTGGAAGTGAAAAGGGGACTTTGTGTGCAACAAATCCTCCATTTAATTTAGAAGGCAGTCAGTCAGAAAATGCAAGTATAACTCAAACTAAAATTTGCACTAGAGAAGAACAAATTAAACAGTCTCACGAAAGTATTTATCCTATAACTATTAATGTGAGTGAAAAGGGTGGTGGTGTTGATACTGGAAATGATACTTTGTCTAGCATCCCATCTGGAGTTGCCAGTACATCTGAAATTCAGAAAGATTCAGCAGCAACTCTAGCTTCAGAGGTAATAGAAGCACTAAAAGGTTCGGATGTTATTCTGAAATCTAAAGACACTGGGGAAATAAAAGCTTTGGACACAGCTCTTGAGTCTGAGACCATGGAGGTGTTGAAATACTCAGAAGCATCTCTACAATCTGTGGCACAGGGGGGAGCAAAAGAGTTAGAAGCAACTTCAGAATCTGTGTCTTTGGCAAGTTATGTGACAACAGCGTCTAAATCTGCAAATCAGGTGGATCTGAATACTGTGAAGGTAGCTCACATGTCTGTGACCGTGGAAGAAGTGAAAATGCCAGAAGCAGCTGAAAAATCTCTGCATATGGGAGATGTGAAAAATGTGGAAAGATCTTTGGAATTAGGGGGTGTGAGCAGAACTTTGGAGCCAGCCCTGAAGCCCTCAGTTATATCTGATAATTTGAGAGTGACGCAGTGCAGCTCCCTGGAGGGTTCAAGTGTCTTGAAGGCAGATGTGTCTTTGCAACATGCTTTTAAAATACCTGCAGCAACTGCTGTGACCCAAGTGGAAATAAAAAGTCCTAACATACCCCTGGGACCAGGAGCTGTTACAAAAGTGAAGGATATTGAACCAGCTAGAAGACCTGCACATATGGAAACTGTGAAAACTTTGGAAGAAGCTCTGCAGCCAATTGCTGTAGTAAAGCCCAAAACTTTGGAAACCATCATGGAACCTGTGGGTGCAAAAGATATCAAAGCAACTGGAGAATGTCTGCAAGTTGAAGTAGTCAAAGATGTGGAAGGTACCACTGATCCTGCAACAGCGCTGAATGCATCAGGAGTGTTCCTACAACCTAAAGTCTTGACAGAAACAAGAAGTGTGGATAGAACCCAGGAATCTGCACTTCCAGCAGAATTGACAGATGTGAATGTGGTTGCAGAGGCAAAACCTTCAAGAGCAACTTCAGAACCCATAGTGGTTGTGCAGACCTGTGTTCCCCGAACAACTCCAGAAATCCAGATGGTGGAGGGTTTTAAAGGTCCACGGGCGACCATGGAAGTTGCAGCACTAACAGGAGTAAAAGGTCAAGAAACAAGTCAAGCTACTCTGCAACTGGAAAATACTAATACTTCAAAAATTTTGGGATCCACTCTCAAGCATGTAGCTGTAACAGAAGCAAAAGTTTCAGAAGGTATTTTGTTACTGAGACAATCAGAGGAGCTGAGAGAATCAAGATCTGAGAGTGAATCAAATGTGAGAGGTTTGGAAGCAACTCCCCTGTCTTTGCAGAAAGAAGACATGAAAGGTCCGGGAGGCCTAAGACCAATGACTGTGGTGGAAGCAAAAACTTTGAAAACAGCTTCACTGTCTTTGCAAATGGAAGGTGTGAAAGCTTCAGAAGAAGCTGTGCGTTGTGGGACTGTGGCCAGAGGTTTAGCAGCGACACTAGATTCATCAGTGGTGTCAAAAGGTTCAGAAATAAATCTACATAGTATGGCAGGAGTAGAAGCAGGCTCAGATGCTGGTCTCCTAGCTGCGAAAGTTGGATCTGTGAGACCAGTGAAAAGTTTGGAAACAACTATAGGACCTGTAGCAGAGACAGAAAGGAAAGGTTTAGAAGCAGACCGTGACAGAGCTGGGACAGAGGTGAAGACATCTTCATCACACCTGCACATGAAAGGTGTGAGAGATTTGAGAGAGCCAGCATTTGTAGGTATGGCAAAGATACAAGCTTTGGAAGCAGTCTTGCAGTCTGGAACCCTTGCAGTGGCAAAGGGCTTGGGCGAAAATGTGTGTTCTGAAACCCAAATGGGTAGCAAAGTCTTGGAAGCAAGTCCAGGACTTCTTCCCTTAGAACAAAGGTCAGAAAGGACTCCAGAATCTGTGGTTGCATCTGTAAGCATGGAACCAGTTAGAGAGGCTGAGGCATTAGCAGGAATTACGCATTTGAAAACTACAGCAGAGAGAGAACCAAAACTTACAGAAACAGTTGCAGAGCCTCTTGGTGCAAGCAGAACAAAGAGTTCCATCGTTTCACAGTCTCGGGTGATGACACGTACAAGAACCTCACAAACTGAGCTGGTTGGGGAGATAAAGGATTCTGAACAAGCTACCAGTTCTGCCGGTGTAGAAGTGAGAGGTTTAGACAACTTGTTGGAAGTTGAGGCAGTTGCAGAGGTGAAAGATGTGGAAGCGAGATCAAAAACTTCACATGTAACACAGATGAAAAATTTGGAAATGATTGTGGGATCTGAAACAGCGACACCAATGCAAGGCTTGGGAAGAACATTGGCATCTGGGGTTGTTAGAGAATTGAGGCATTCTGAAGTTGCTCCAGAAGATCCAAACAAAGTGAAGGCAAGAAGCAAAGAAGCAATACTAGAACCTGTGCAAACAGTGACGATGCAAACTTTAGAACAAATAGTAGGTCATTCAGAAGCAGTATTAGAATCTTCGCCCAGAATGGGAGAAAAAGCTACACCATCAGAAATACTGACAGAAGGGAGAAACTTGAAAGGAACTTTGGAATCTAAGATTTCGACAGATGTGAGGACTCAGGGGCCTACTGTAGAATATATAATTGCAACAAGGAGGACAAGCACAAAAAAAAATGAACCCTCACTTATCAATGTGAAAGATTTGGAAGAAGCTTCAGAAACAGAGAAAACAATGACAGCAAAATATTTGGAGCCAGCATCAGAACCTAGAGAAGTGAGATTGGTGGAAAGTATTCAGGAGTCTGCAATAGAGATGAAAGCTTCTGAAGCAATTGAAGAGCCTGAGGTACACATGGATATCCAAGGTTTGGAAACTTCCCAAAAGTCTGGAAATGTGGGAGAGATGAATGTTTTAGAGCATGTTTCAGAAGCTGTTCCAGAATCTTTGCACACTGAAAAGCAAGAACATCTGCAAGCAGTTCTAGAAGCAAAACCTGCTGCAGAATGGAGGAGTACAGAAGAGGCTCCAGAAATCTTGAGTGCTGCTGAAATGACATCTTCTGAAGCAGTTCCGAAACCAGGGGACACAAAAGATCTGGAAACAATAGTGGAACGTGAAGTGGCAGCAGAAGTACAATATGCAGAAGGGGTGCAGGGTCAACAAATGGAGGATGTGAGAGTTCCTGGTCAAGCTCAGGAATGCGAGATACTGGTTGAGAAGAAAGATGCAGAGAAACCTCAAGCATCTGAGCCTTTTATAGCAGAAACAGTTTTTAGTTCTTCACATGCAGCAGATGAACAAGATTCAGCAGGGACTCTTGAATCTGAAATAGTCAAAGACACAAAACAGTTGGAAGCAGCTCCAGCTCATGTGGCAGAAACAAAAGATTTGGAAACAGCTCCTCTTCCTGAGGCTGTTCTAGAGCTGAAAGATGCAGAAGCAGCTGTAGGGTTGGAGGCAGAGACAAAAGATTCGGAAGCAGCTCTGGTACCCGAGACTGTTACAGAAGCAGTTCCAGTACTTGTGGCAGAGGCAAGCCAGTCGGAAGTCATTCCACAGGCTGAGGCTGTCAAAGAAGCCACTCCGGAACAGGAGGCAGAGAAAAGAGATTCAGAAACATCGGATGTGCAACCTGATGTGGCAGCACGAATGAGGGAGACTCTGATGAGACTTGAGAAAGTTATTGAAAAAAGTAGCCATAGAAGCAGTGATAAAAAACATGATGCAAAGAAACAAAAAAGGAGTCGCTCCAAGTCTCAGTCCAGGTCTAGGAAGCGGAAGAAAAAATCAAGGTCACGTTCTACTTCCAGGCGTTTGGCCTCTAAAAGAGCACGTTCTAGGAGCAGAAACTATTCAGATTCCAGAAAAAAGCATTCCAAATCGAGATCCCGATCTGTGGAGAAGAGAGAGAGAAGAGTGTCTTCCCGGAGGTCTAGGCGCAGACGTTCCAGGTCGTCTGACCGTTACAGGTCTAAATCCAGATCAGCAGAAAAGAGAGGGAGCAGATTGTCCTCTGGGAGGTCCAGACGTAGACGTTCCAGGTCATCTGACCACTACAGGTCTAAATCCAGATCAGTGGAAAAGCGACTGTCCTCCCGAAGGTCCAGACGTAGACGTTCCAGGTCTTCTGACCGCTACAGATCTAAGTCCAGGTCAGTGGAAAAGGGACTGTCCTCTCGAAGGTCTGGGCGCAGACGTTCTAGGTCTTCTGACCGCTACAGGTCGAAGTCCAGGTCAGTGGAAAAGCGACTGTCCTCTCGAAGGTCCGGGCGCAGACGTTCCAGGTCTTCTGACCGCTACAGGTCAAAGTCCAGGTCAGTGGAAAAGCGACTGTCTTCTCGAAGATCTGGGCGCAGACGTTCCAGGTCCTCTGACCGCTACAGGTCTAAATCACGGTCGGTGGAAAAGCGACTGTCTTCTCGAAGGTCAGGGCGCAGACGTTCCAGGTCTTCTGACCGCTACAGGTCTAAATCACGGTCAGTGGAAAAGAGGGGGAGCAGGTTGTCCTCCTGGAGATCCCGCCGCAGACGTTCAAGGTCATCTGACCATTCTAAATCTAGATCCAGGTCTTCAGAAAAGAGAGGGGGCAAAGAATACTCATGGAGGTTCAGACATAGAGGGTCTGGTTCCTCTGATCGTTCGAAATCTAGGTCAAGATCTGTTGAGAAGAGAGGTCGGAAGGCATCTCTACGGAGGTCTAAACGTCAACGCTCAAAGTCCTCTGACCGTTACAAGTCTAGATCCAGATCAGTAGAAAAAAGAGATCGAAAGCAATCATCACGGAAGTCTAAACGTCAGCGCTCAAAGTCCTCTGACCGTTACAAATCTAGATCCAAATCAGTGGAAAAAAAGAAGGAGTCCTCACGAAAATCTAAGCGTCGCCGCTCAAAATCTTCTGAACGTTACAAGTCTAGGTCTAGGTCTGTTGAAAAAAAGCGCAAGGAATCTTCAAAAAAATCCAAACGGAAACGTTCTAAGTCCTCTGATAGTGTTAAGTCAAGGTCCAAATCTACAGAAAAAAGAGAGAGTAAGTTATCTTCAGTAAAGTCTAGTAGCAAGCGTGTGGAGTCTTCTGAACTTCAGGATTCAACCAAGTGTCAAGTTCTGGAACCACCTTTTCCAAGTGAAGGCAGCTCTTCTAAATCCTCTAATGGTCCCATGTCAGTAGCTTTGTCTGTTGAAAGAGTAAATGGGCCAGAGCTGCCGCCAGCATCTGAAAGCGAATTTTCCAAAACTTTTGATAGTCTTGAGAAAAGGTCCTCATCTGTTGAAAAAACATCGAGTCTGCAGCCTTCTGTGATGACTGAATTGAATAGCTCCAAAACCCCAGATGACCAGGAAATGCCTGTGGAAAAAACAAATGATTCAGAGCTCTTTGTGACATCTGAAAATGGATCAGCTGAAAAAGCAGTGACTCTGGAGTCTTCATCACTACCTGAACTTACATACTGCACATCCAAGTCGAGATCCTCATCTGTTGAAAAAAGGGGAGATCCGGAAACTTCTTTGGTAACAGAATTTCAGGTCTCTGCATCCCATGAAGATGAGTTGAGATCTACCTCTCTCAAAGAAATAGAGGGTCCAGAGCCTCTTCTGACACTTGAAAGTGGATGCTCTGTATCTTCTGATGATTGCAAGACAATCTCTTCGTCCTCTGCAAAAACAGAGGTTCAGGAGTCTTCTCTGATGTCTGGAAATGTACTCTCTGACTTGTCTCATAGTCATGAATTGAGACATATCCCCATTGAAAAAACAGAGCTTCAGAACTTTTTGCAAGTACCTGAAAGTGAATCTTCCAAGTTGGCTGATGGTCCTGAGTCAAGGTCACTATCTTTTGAAAATGTAGAGGCTCAAAAATCTCTTCTAGCACCTGAAGTTACGTGCTCTGCGTTCTCTGATGTCTGTGAGTCAGCCTCCTTGCCTATTGAAAAGGGCCAGATGCAGGAGCCTTCTTTGGCTTCTGACAGTGGATGTTTCAGGTCTCCGGATGGACATGAATCAAGATCCAGCTTTGCCGCACAAATAGAGGAGCTTCCGTTGATGTCTGAAGGTGGGTCCTTCAAGTCACCTGATGGAAATGAACAAAGTTCTTTATCTGTCGAAAAAGCCAAGGGTGTAAATAATTCCCTGACATCTGATTGTGGTCCTGTTGGGATCTCAGATGACCTCGTTTCAGTGCCATCTTTTGAAAAAATGCAGGAAGTTGTGCTGACAACTGTAGGACAAAGCTGCAAGTCTTCTGAAGTTCATGAATCCAGGTCATCTGTTGACAAAGATTTACATGGTCCGACACTTTCACAAGTGCTTGATATTGACTGCTCTGAATCTTCTGAAATGCATGAATCAAGATACCTGCCTGCTGGAAAAACAGAGAGTACAGGATGTGTCTTGATGTCTAAAAGTGGAATTCCTGTGTGCCATGATGGCCATAAATCAAAACACAATTACTTGGAGAAGACAGAAGGTGCAGAACTGTTGTTGGGATCTGAGCCTAGGTGTTCTGTCTTCCCTGAAGGCTGTGAATTGACATCCACTGCAGTGGAAAAAATGGAGATACAGAAGCCTCCTCTCCCCCTAGAAAGTGGGTTCTCCAAGTCTGCTGATATTTGTGAATCAGTAAGCACACCTACTGGAAAACTACAGGCCCCAGTGATTTCTCTGGCATCTGAAGGTACGCTTTTCCTGCCTGACAGTCATGAATTGAGACCTGTCCCTGCTGAAAAAGTTGAGCTGCGAATGTCATCTGAACTGAAATGCATTGCATCCCCTGATGGCCACAAGCTGATATCTGCCTATGATGAAGAAATACAGGTGCAGGAGCCAGCTCTGTTACTGGAAAGCAGGTGTTCTGTTTCCTCTGACGGTCATGATTTGACATCCACCTGTTTTGAAAAAGTTGAGGTAGAGGAGCCTTCTCAAACGTCTGAAAATGAATACACAATACGGCTTGATGGCCCAGAGTTGACATCAACCCCTGCCGAAAAAACAGAGATGCGGGTACTTCATCGGATGTCTGAAGAAAGATGTTCAGTGTCCATTGAGAGCCAGGAGTTGCAGTCACCCACTGTTAAAAAGATAGAAGTGCAAGAACCTGCTCTGACATCTGAAAATGAATATACTATATCTTGGGAGGGGCAGGAGTTGAGAGCTAGCTCTCCTGAAAAGGTGGAGATGCAGGAGGCGTCTGTAGTACCTGACAATGAATATGCTGTGTCTTCTGAAGATCATGAATTGCTTTATTCCTTTGCTGAAAAAACAGATGTACAGGAGTGTTCTCTGCTATCTGAAAATGAATACGCTGTATCTCCTGAGGGCCAGGAGATGACAGCCAGCCCTGCTGAAAAAGAGGTGCAGGAGCCTTCTCTGGCATCTGACAGTGAATATACCATCTTCCCTGAAGGCCAAGGATTACAGTCTACCGTTGCTGAAAAAACAGTGGTGCAGGAGCCTTCACTAATATCAGACAGTCAATATGCTGCATCCCCAGAAGGGCAGGAGTTGCTTTCTACCCTTACTGAAAAAACAGAGGTGCAGGAATGTTCTTTGCTGTCTGAAAATGAATATGACGTGTCCCCGGAAGGCCATGACTTGAGATCCAGTCCTGTTGAAAAAGAAGAAATAGAGGAACCTTCTGAAACATCTGAAAGTGAAAGTTCAATGTCTACTGATAGCCAGGAGCTGCAATCTACTGTTGTTGGAAAGACAGAGGCACAGGAGTTGTCTCTGTCTGAAGGTGAATGTGCCATGTCCCCGGAAGGTCAGGAGCTGCAGTCTAGCCCTGCTGAAAAAGTAGAGGCTAAGGAACCTTCTCTGACATCTGAAAATGAACATGTTCTGTCCCCTGAAGAATATGAATCAAGATTGACTCATGCTGAGAAAACAGAGGATATGGATTCTTCTTTGACATCTGAAAATGACCATCTTCTGTCTTTCGAGAGCCAGGAGGTAAGATTCACTCCTGTTCAAAAAGCAGATGTGCGGGAGCTTTCTCCAACACCCGAAAATGAACATGCAGCATCCGCCGATGGCCAGGAGTTGACATTACCCTCTGCTGGAAAAGGAGGCAGTGTTGAACATTTGACGCTAAATGCTAGAGCCTCAATGTCCCCTGATGACAGTGACTTGACATCCATCCCTGTTGAAAAAATGGATGATGCAATGCCTTCTTTAATGCCTGAAAGTGGGTGCTCCATGTCCCCTGATGGCTACAGTGTGAAATCTGGCCCTGGTGAAGAAACAGGGGATCTAGAGCCCTCTTTGATACCTGAACGTAGACATTCCACATCTTCGTATCAGGAAGTTCATGAGCTGAAATCTCCTGTGGAGGAAGAGGGTCTAGAGTCCTCTTTGATCTCTGAACATAGACGATCTGTGTCCCCTGAGGGCCATGACCAGAAATCTGTAGATGAAGAAATGGATGATTTGGAGCCCTCTTTGACATCTGAACATAGGCGCTCTACATCCCCTGATGAGCATGAGTCAAGATCTAGCATTGGTGAAGAAGCAGAGTATCTGGAGCAGCCTTTGGCAACAGAACGTAGATGCTCTGTGTCTTCTGATGACCATGAGTCAAGGTCTACCACTGGAGAAGAGGCAGAGGATGCAGAACCCTCCTTGACAGCTGAACGTAGAGACTCCACATCCTCAGATGAGCATGAGTCGAGGTCTACCACTGGTGAAGATGTAGAAGATGGAGAGCCCTCTTTGACAGCTGAACGTAGACACTCCACGTCCTCTGATGACCGTGAGTCAAGGTCTACAACTGGTGAAGAAATAGAGGATTTGGAACCTTTGGCAGCTGAACATAGGCGCTCCATGTCTCCTGATGGACGTGAGTCAAGGTCAACCACTGGTGAAGAAGCAGAGGACCGGGAGCTCTCTTTGACAGCTGAACGTAGACACTCCACATCCTCAGATGAACATGAGTCGAGGTCTACTGCTGGTGAAGATGCAGAGGATATGGAACCCTCCTTAACAGCTGAACGAAGAGATTCCACGTCATCGGATGAGCATGAGTCAAGGTCTACCGCTGGTGAAGATGCCGAGGATGTGGAACCTTCTTTGACAACTGAACACAGACGTTCCACATCCCCTGATGGGCGTGAGTCGAGTTCTACCACTGGTGAAGAAGTAGATGATGTGGAGCCGTCCTTGACAGCTGAACGAAGAGACTCCACATCATCAGATGAGCATGAGTCAAGGTCTACCACCGGTGAAGAGGGTGAGGATGTGGAGCCTTCTTTGGCAGATGAAGATAGACAGGATTCTATGCCTCTTGAGAGGCTGGAGGAACAGGACTCTTCCTTTATACCTGAAAGTAGGCGGTCTGAGTCTTCTGAACGTGAAAAATCTAGATCCAAATCTGTTGATAAAATATCTGACAAAGAGTCTTCACGAAGATCTATAAGCAGACGCTCAAAATCTCCTACTCGCCAAAAGAGTCGATCCACATCTGTTGAAAAAGTGGCAGACAAAGAGTCTTCACGGAGATCTAGACGTAGACGTTCCAGATCTGCTGCTCGCCAGAAGAGTAGATCCACATCTGTTGAAAAAACAGCAGACAAAGAATCTTCACGGAGGTCTAGACGTAGGCGCTCCAGGTCAACTGCTCACCAAAGGAGTCGATCAACATCTGTTGAAAAAGCAGCAGACAAAGAGTCTTCACGGAGGTCTAGACGTAGGCGCTCCAGGTCCACTGCTCACCAAAGGAGTCAATCCAAATCTGTTGAAAAAACAGCAGACAAAGAATCTTCACGGAGGTCTAGAAGCAGACGCTCCAGGTCATCTCAGCGCAGATCCCAGAGATATGATACAGACTCTCGCTCTAGAAGGAATCGCTCCAGATCAGTAACACGGAGAAGAGCATCAAGATCAAAATCTAATCGTCGCTCTCGGTCTAGCTCATTGTCGCGTTCAAGGCACAGAAGGAGGAGTAGGTCAAGGTCAGCATCAAGAAGACGGCGCTCTTTATCAAGAGACAGGCGTAAGAGATCTCAGAGAAATAGATCAAGATCTACTGACAGAAGAAGGAGGAGATCAGATTCAAGAGATCGTAGAATATCGCTCAGATTACGAAGCAGGAGTCGAACGCCTATTCGTCAAAGACGATCAAGGTCAAGAGGAAGAAGACGAAGCTCTAGTAGGTCACCAATTCGACTACGACGATCAAGATCTTCAGGGAGAAGAAGATACAGTAGATCACCTGATCGTCGTAGATCGAGGTCGTCGGAACGATTTTCAAGCAGGTCACCTAAACGTCTTACAGACTTAGGTAAGTAATAATTTCATTTTCAGTAGTTCCGTAGTTAGGTGATACTGCGTTCATTTACATAGTCTTATTTTAACAGATCTCTGTAGCATTCATAAGGAATTTCTTGGAAGTCATTTTGTGCATTGCTTTTAGGCAGTGACTTCAGTAGGAACTTTTATATTGGAGGTGAATCAATGCTTACCATTTGGATGAAACTGTATTTGGAGCAGGTTATATCTTGGTTATGGAGCTTTTATACAAAGGCAGTATGTTGCAGTCTTGAGAAACACTGTTAATTGTAATAGTAAAGGTCAAGTACTCTGTAAGAAACTTAGGAATTTATAGTTTTCCTGAGAACAAATTGGGCATTAAAGAACATTTGAAAGTAAGTGCCAGTTGGAGAGTTCTTAGCTCTGTCAGCAGCTGTAATGCTTGTTTATCTGTTTCCAGTACTCTGCCTTGCCTCTTTCCCATGGTAGTAACTTAATGGGAAAGGAGATTCGTTTCTGAAAATATTCCCAGACCCAAGTGATTGGAAAATAAAAGAAAAAATCACAATGAACTGCATCTTTTCTTTGTGACTGGAAGAAGAGAGGCCTTGTAGTTTCCTTTAGGTAGTAAGTTACGTAAGGAGAAAGGTTTCAATTTTGAGAGACAAGCTTTTGTACAGCGTGTGAGGAAGCTGCCTTTTGTGGACCTCAGGTTCTGATCCTTTTAGTTCTGTCTCATAAAGTTACCATGGAAGCCCCTCTACCAGAGGAGTATTTTGTACAGAACATGAGGATTAATGAGCATCCTTGAATCTGCCTTTGTGCGTTGATTATGCCGCAGGTCTGAACCTATGTACTTCTGTTGCTTAAGAAGTAATGGGATGTTGTGCTTTTAGCGTTTTTTTTTTTTTTTGTAAAGCTGTATGCTTGCAGAGATAGTGGCAACTCCCTTATTTGCAAACTGGCACGTCAAGTAAGACATACTTTATTTTCACTCCCTATTTTTGTGATAGAGCCACATGTGATTTTTTTCCTTAATAAAACAAAATACTGTTTTATTAACGGTTTTGTTGTAATTGTGTTTTATGCAAACACACATTTTATTCAGTGCTTATGTTTTTCTGTTGGTTGGTTGTAAGTAGCTTTCAGGCTACCTACTGGGGAACTTGAGGGGACTTCCTCAAGACCTTTGAATGCTTTTCAGAGATAGCTAGGAATTAGACTTTGGAATTTATGCTGTGTAGAAATAACTCAGTATTTCCAAACCCAGAATGAATTGGTGAAGTAAAATAGGCATCAGAACTTCTGGGGTTTGGAGGATTTTGAGTGCTGTAATTTGGACTCTGTGCTTTGTGTTAAGTTTGCAATTTCACTTGTCTGTTGGGTAGATGAAATTTTAAAAAGTCTGGAGCAATTAAGTGCAATTGTAGTTATTTTCACAGAACATAACGATTTACAGTGTGGGTAAAATCTTGTGTTTTTTCTTTGTACTTTGTTTAGTCTGCCAGAAATGCTCATTTGTTATTAAATCAAGAATCTGTAAAAATAATGTTTTTTCTTAAAAAAAAAAACCCACATTTTTTTTAGACAAGGCCCAGCTACTTGAGATAGCCAAAGCTAATGCGGCCGCCATGTGTGCTAAGTCTGGTGTTCCCTTACCACCAAGCCTGATGCCTTTGTTATCTCAAAAGAAAGACGACAAAGCAAATCAGAAGTCATCAAGAGACACACTAAAGGAGCTCACTGAGGTAAGCGAGAACAACAGTATCAAACCTGAAAATAAACTAATTTGTTTTTTGTGACTTCTAGGCAAGCTGTCACTTTGTGTGCTTGCTTCGCATGTAAGCTGGCTTGTGGTTTGGGCCCTTAGTCTCTACAGTTTTTTTTTAAGTCATGAAAGCAGGCTTTTTAATTCCATGGAAATGCATGAAATCTAATTCTGTTGCCTTTTTTTTGATTCTGGTCTAATTTTGTACAAATTTGTAGTTCTCCTTGCAGTCCTGATAATAAAACCCAAAGCTTTCACTTCTAGTTTTTGGTTCTGATGTTGTTAGTTATGTTGTTCATTATCTATGTTCTTGCTTTAGTTAGTGAATTTCACATTGTTAAATGTTATCTCTGGGTTAAAAATCTAGTGCCCTCTTCACGTAGTTCTATATATTTTAATATGCACTCCAAGATATTTCTGGAGAATTATTGTTGCAGTTCTGTCCTGTTGCAGTTCAGGTCTACAAATGGGATGTTTTTGTTCCGATTGTGGGAAAAAATTGCTACTTGTCCTTTTACTGTAGTAGTGTCACCTTCAGTTTCTAATTTGACCTTCAATTCAACCTTCAATTTGCTAATTTCCCCCTATGTTTTTTTTCCCCCAGAAACTAGAGAAAATTTGGAATGGGGAAAAAAAAGTGCCTTTTGTTTGGTTTTTTGTGTGGTGGTGTTTTTTTTTTTAAATTGCATCACGAGTGTGACAGTTCTGAAATACCTGTTTATAGAAATAACATCTAAAATTAAGCATTGTCAAATTGCTGAAAAATAATCTCTTAGTTATGTCTGGGCTAGTGGAAGCAGAAGGACGTGTTAGTGAAAAAGCTGAGATTGTACAGCTACGCTGTGCAGACATCTTAAGTGGTTCTTCATGTAACCTGACCAAGATCCAGTGTAGCTAGTGCTAATCTGAAAGCCCAAAACCTGCCTCTTCCTTGCCCTTTCCAACTGTGGGAGTCCATTGGACAATGTTCCTGTTCTGTGGAATCAAAATTGGTGCCAGAAGCAGTCCAGGCCATTGTCATACAGTAGTGTGCCCAAGTGGAGAACCATTCCAGAGTCTGTTCAGCTTCTTGCAAAGCTAGCTGCGCTGTCTTTTGTCTCTGTGATCTAACCTGCAAACTGGACAGACTGCTTCCAGTTAGTTGGGAGCCAACTAGTAACTACAGATAATACATTTTGTTGCTTAGCTTTCCAAATAGTGCAGACTTTTCCTGTTGCCTAAAGAATGTGCTTCAGTGATTGTTTGGAGGTGTCTTAACACAAGAGAGTGCAGGAACCTTTTTTTTTTTTCTAATAAGGACTGATGAGAACAGTGCCATCAATGTGTGATGGAGCTGCCTGTTTGCTCCTTATATGCCAACAATCAGGTCATCAAATGGATGTGACTTGTAATGGTATGACCTTGAACTAGAATCAAATCAGTTGATGGCTTTACTTTGCCAGTATTATTTCCTCAAATGTCTTCTAAGTTTATGTTTCATGAATGGGGACATAATAGAAGCATGATGCTGGACTGTAATGTCCTCAAGTGCATTTTGGATTGAGTTATAGTTGCTACTGGTAAACACTCAGTGCAGTTAACCATGATCAGTAAAGACTTTTTCATTGTAAAATTCTAGCCTCTCTAGAATGTCTTTTTTTTTTTTTTTTTTTTTTTTCTAAATCTTGAGGCTCTCTTCTCATTTAACTGCAGTATCCTCGTAGCACCTATGTGTTTTATAATCAGCTTCTGTTGAATATAAAATGGGGATATCTTGCATACAGGGCCAACGTCAAAATATTTCAGAAGAAACCTGAGATCTTTTGGAGCCATTTCTCTGACTAGGTCCCCGCACTACCAGTGAAATGTAGAATTAGTAAATATTAATTCTTAGGTTTTCCTATGTAGTAGTTTTGTGAGTTACATTGAAGTTTCTATCAGATTGCAGTATGCTAGTCATGTGGGATGCCAAACAACCAGCGAGTTCCTACTCTGGAATGTTTGCAGCCTTAGATGCGCATTCTGCAACTAGCGCTGTATAGCAGGTTTTACAGTGTGCTGCTGAAGTCTTATGTCTGTGAAGTTATTTGCTGCATGAGTGCCTAGCAAGCCTAGGTAGGTATTTGATAAGGCGTGTAAAATGTCAAAATTACATATATTGACATTCCTGAAAGATTTTCTCAGTTTATACCTCCTGCTTTAGAAAAGAAGATCACTCGTTTGTAAAGAAGTTCTTTTTATATGTTTTGATTGAAAGTCCAGGTTTATTCAGAACTGTCATGTCCCCCTTCCCCCCACCTTTTTTTTTTTTTAATTAGAAATGCAAGAAGATTGCTCAAAGCACAGATGATGTGATAGTGAACAAACCTCATGTTTCTGATGAAGAGGAGGAAGAACGTCCTTTCTATAATCATCCTTTTAAGCTCAGTGAACCCAAACCTATTTTCTTCAATTTAAGTGTGAGTACTTCTTTAGTTTTCAATAGTTTAAATTGTGGTTATTTTTAAATAATGCAAGTAACTTTACAGAAATTAAGCAGGGATTGAGAATCTTGGGGAAATTGCACTGGAATGTTGTTAAAAGTTCTCTTGCTACAGTAAGAAACTTGCCTGCTGTCTATGAAATTGTGTTAGTTCTCATAATTCGATTGAAACTGGTTTTTTCATTAATGCCTTTACAGCTTTTAAAGCTTGAATAATATAAAGAGGATCGACTTTGCTTCATGTTTGCATTGCAGAAATATCAGTATGAATTTGCAAACAGCAACGGAATTGGAAAATACTTTTGGAATGGCATTGTTTTTCTTTAAAAGACAGAAAAACCCCAGCAAAATTCTAAAAGCATTTTGACATTTTTCTAAATAAAATGATGCCATTGGCTTTGTACAGACTCCAGATCTTGTATGCATGCTGCTTCAGTAGATCTCAAGCATTCACCAAAGAAGAAAGTTCTGTTAGTTTTTAGATTAGCCAATTGAGAAGTAAATGCTGTGTTAAGGAGGATCGCTGATGTTGCCTCTTACTAAGAGGGTCTCAATGTCCCATTAAACCTGCTCCTTGGGGTGCTGCTTTTGACTCTGTCAGAGCCTGTGTTGACACTTTCTGCATATGAGCATGTTGGAAGGAATAAAATAACCAAATGTTTTTTTAAATGCATCTGGGATTTGTATGCTTTGAAGCATGGATTACAGTTTGTGTAGATGTGGGGTTTTGGGGTTTTTTTAACAGTGGTATCCTTGGGGTTTTTTTGTACCCATGAAAGTCTGCTCTGATTTTGCAGGGTATAAAGTATTATAGAAGTATTAATATGCTAAGTGAAAATACAAATAGCATTTATATTTTTATGTACAAATACATATAGCTTGTGGTATACATAAAATAAGGAGTAATACATATTTACATAAGATGTAAGATAGAAATAGATTTATACTTTATGTTGTACCATTAGAAAGTGGTACAATGAAACTCAAGAAACCCTGGGATTCTTACAGGTTCCAAAGAGGAATGTTCTTTAGTGGTTATGGGCTGCTCTGACTGTTTTTTCCACAGTTTTGACCCTTTTAGTATCATTCTTTCTATTCTTTCTGGATTCTAGCCTTGCTACCATTCCCATCCATGCTCCTTTGATTGTAGGAATTTACCCAATATTGTGAGGTGTCTGGGCTCTGTTCGCGTCTTGGAAGAGGAACCTCTTAGAGGTTTCTGCAGATTCCTAATATATTAGCAATACTGTCTAAGGAAAACAAGCTGATAGACTTACCTACTTCGAGATTCATGCTGCTATTAAAAAATAATAAAAAACTAGACAACAAAATGTTGAAAACTGCTTTCTCTATCTATAGTAATGTAGAGCTTTTTATCATCATGTGTATTTCACGGCTGATGTTTTTTGCTGCCCAGGATTTTTGTTTTGGAGCTTTCCGTAAAAAAATACATGTGTGGCAGATTAAGATTGTTCTCTTTATGATGGGGTGGAGGGGAAGCAGAGAGGTTAATTGTGAGAGTGAGGTTTTACGTATTTTTAGCTGCTGAAGCTGATTTAGGCTATTTTTAGTTTCTAGCTGTTTCATCTTTTCTTACACTGCAATTTGTTGCTCACTTGTGTGTTTTTAGGGCTATGCTGAAAGGATTTGTTACAAAGGCTTTCAGTTGGATGTTAGTAAGGAGAATGACTGTTTTATGAAAACTTAATGCGAAGTGTATGCAATAAATGGTTTCTCAAAGACATGTTGTGATTATTGTGTGTCTTCAAGTTTTAACTGTTTCTAATTTTATTTCTTTAAGACTCCCAGCATAAAACCAGCACCACCACCGCAACCAAAAAATCAGGTCAGCCTGTCAAAGGAATTTCCTGTTTCATCTGGCTCTCAACATAGGAAAAAAGAAGCAGATAGTGTCTATGGAGAATGGGTTCCAGTTGAAAAAGGCAAAGAAGAAAGCAAGGATGATGTTTTCCCCAAACCATCCATTGAGGTAAGGAAAGGAAGGAAGGCATATCATATAAGAAAACCAAAACCGTTACCTGCTCGAACTGGTAACAAATTGCAATCTGGGAAAAAAAAAAGCTTACATAGGTAATATCTAAACACTTTAATAAGCTAATTATCTGAACTGCTGCAGTCTTCAAATTTGGTTGCCACGCTCCTGTGGGCACTGATGAAAGCAACCTGTACCCATACCGTGTGCTTTTGTCAGCTGGTGACTTCTTTGTCTGAATAGAATTTAAACTTTTGCTTGAAGATGAGAAGCAAGTTTCTTGTCCAGTTTCCTGCAGAGGTTAATACCCTAAGTTGAGACTTCGATAATAATGAATTTAATAATAATTAAAATTGTCCTACCAATCTTAGAGCAATAACATTGCATTGAAATTTAATCCATTAAAAGTAGATTTGAAAGTGGTTTCTATAACTGCCATTTCATCTGGATGTATCTACTAATTTTTTAGCTTTACACTCATGTTTTCTCACATAGTTGTCTTCCATGTGGCCTTCCAAAGGAAAATCTAATTGTATGTATAATAAACTAAAAAAAAAAAAGGCAAATGTTTTTCCCCTTGAAATGTCTTTAAAAGGATATTTTGTGGGGTTTTTGTAATTAAGTAAATTAAATATTTAAAGACAGATGTTAATTTTTTCAAGTTGATGTTACCTCACTCCATCTGAAGACTTGTTCTCGTACCGTTCAAAGCAAATAAACAAAAAAGCCTTGGCATCAATTTCTGATGAAACAATCTTTCCACTTGATGTGCTTTGTTTTTCAAGAACTTTCTAAGATTGTACCATTCGCTTCCTGAAGCACAGAAGATATTTTCTTCTGGGTCTTTCACAGCACCAAAAGTACAGTGAATGTAACTCATTCAACAGACATTTTCATGGTATACCTCTGAGTTCGATGGTCAGGCACTCGATTCATTGTTCCCTCAGTGCGGGTGGTAACTCCTGTTTGGTCTCTGTCATGAACCACTAGTAGGACAAACATTCTGAAAAGTTTGTGCAGAATGTGATTCCCAGTTACTAGTGTATGTGTAAAAAGTTCAGAGCATAGAAACATTGTATGCTAACATATGGCCATGTTTTTATCGGGTGGTAAAAAGTCTTGTCCTTCAAATAAATGATGATATGCTCATAGTTCAGGCGAGCTCTGTAGATGTGTGCATCCAGGTTGCCAATGATACTAGACTCGTGTCTTTGACAAAGTGGGTTAGCTAAGTACTGATGGTTGTGTATTGATGATGTAGAAGAGGCCTTAAAAATTTACATTGGAGTAAATATATTAAACATAACTTTATTTCCTTTCTGTCACATGTATCTTTATAAATGCTTGTAACAATGTTGTCTGTTTTTATATTTTGTAAATAAATATTTTTATTTGCCTTTACCTTAACTTGGTTTGTGTTAAGGGTGATTTCAAGGGTCATTAGCTGACAGCAGAGCATACCATCCCCTTGCGTTTGGCAATCCTTAATTTTGAAATACAGGAATACTCTTGTAGTAGCAGAATTGCTGTATGTTTCTCCAGGAAGTCTGAAAGGTAACAGAGCACTTCTCTGCTTAGTTTTTTAAATGCTTATGAGGACTCTGTGGATGAAATATCTTCCTTTGAGCAAAATAAGCCAGATAAGCTCCCTTGCTGTTGGAGTAGGATAGTGGGGGAGTGCGCTTGGATCCTCGGGAAGTTTGACATATAATTTACCTTCATTCACTGTTGCTGATTTTGAAATCTGATTGTGACAATTCTGATGCAGGTCTATATTGACATTAAAAAATACATCGTTGGTTTGATTGCTATGTTTTTATTCAAGTCACAGAATTAGTTATGGGAATAAGCAGCCTGAAATGGCCCTGCTAATATGTTATGAATTGTTTTAATAAAACATTATGCTCTTAGTATAGTTGTTTGTGGTAGTAGAAGATGGAAGGAAAAGTCTTGGGTAATCTGAAGTATCAGCATGTCTCTAGAAGGCAGAGGAATGTATGAGAAAGAAGCTATATTTGAAAGTCTGAAAGTAGAGAGTTGAGGTGTTGCATTTAAGTTTGGAACATACACAGGTGGTCATTATGCAGAGAAGCTGTCGTGATCTAAAAATGTAGTAAATGCATTTGGTGTATAAGTGGACCTACCGAAGTGTGTCAAAAATGCCTGCTTTCTATTGTCAGCCTCTTTCTTCTTGCTTCAATGTTTGTGATTTGTATCTGTGGGAAAAATGTTATTAAAAGTCAGGATCAGAAAGGCAGAACTCTTACAGAGAATAGCATGGTGAACTTGAAACTGTTTTACTTGACTAAATAATAACAACCTTTCATACTTCAAGCAGAGATTTTTTTTTTTTTCAAGATCCAAAGCTGCCATCGAGTGTCTTGACAAAATACAAAGCCATGATGGTCTCCAAAATGGTGACTGACCATGTGGGGAAAGTGTATGGGAATTCTAACTAACCAGGGTATCTACTAATAGGCCCCAGTCCGGTAAAGCACTAAAGTACACATGTATGTTTTAAGTATGTGAGTGGTCCCAATGTGGTTTCAGTGGACTACTTGCATGCCTATGTGTATTGCTGGATTGAAGCTTTTGGTGAGTAGAATAACTTTTATTTATCTCCTGAACCAGTTTCACAAACAGATCATTAAAGAATTATTTTATCTATGTAAGGCAAACTTCCTAACTCAAGAAAGTCTATTTTAAACAGGCATTCTTTTACATACGTGACTGTCGTGTTAGGTGGTTGTTAAATATCTTTTAATTCTTCTTGTGCCTTGTTTTTGATCTGTGTGTTTGTCAACTGGGACAACAAATAAACACTGAAGCCAGTTTCACAGACACATAGGGCTTCTTGGATTTTAAGTCTGTCTTGGTCAGTGCCAGAGGTTTCAGCCATGATCTTCCCAACAGAAATACTTTCTGTCCTAAACAGTAAAAAAAAAGCTGCATCTTAAAATAAGATTTAATAGTCAGAGTACAAAAAATAATTACTCATTTTATGCAATTGTAGACATTCGTGTCTGTCTCTTCCTGTTTTTCAATATTTATGAAATTCTTGACTTGGTTCCTGTGACAGAGATTTTGTAGATTAACTATTTTTCTGTCCAGCAGAGTCAATTTTAAATTGGTTTCAATTTCTTTTGCTGGCCCTTTATTCTAGTATAATGTGTGAGGGGCTAAGGTTATGAGATAGTGACTAACAAAAGATAGAAGTCTTTTGCAAAACAAAATAAAAATAAATTAAACCATCAACTTACTTTATGGCTATATGCCACTTGCTATTTTGATTATTCAGTTTCTTCTGTGCTTCAAACAATTCCAGCCCTTTTAGTCTTCTTTGCATGCTCATCTCCAAAGAAATTTCACTTGCCTCGGAGCACTGTTCTTTTTCTCCTTTCAAAATAGAATGATCCATAGAATGCACATCATCTGAAGAACAAGGCAGAAATAATTTTACAAAAGAGCTGTATACTAACCATAATTTGTTACAGCTTTATACTGCCAAATGTTTTGGATTTCTCTTTTGATTGCTCTGCACATAGAGGTTTGCACTGAGCTTCTTCATTTGCTCCATGTTTTTAGCCAAATGATTCTGGTTAGTATGCGTGAGAGAGTTTCAAATTTATTTTCCTTTAAATTTTATTCTAGTTTGGCAGCGCAGATCTAAATGATCCTTTCCAGAACAGTTAATTTTATGAGCTATTAGTCTGGTTTTAGTTTTGTGCAAGTCTTGTTTTAGGCTGAAGATGTAAGATTTGAAACACTAAAGCTAAGTGCATGGAATACATCTGATTCTTGCTGTAATTTTTTTTATACATAAAATTTGAAGTTGTAGTGTGACTTAATAGTAGGGTGCTCATGTGAACAGCTCTGTATGAAGGCTTTCTTTTTTTAAATTCCTAGCTAAATTACATTTAAGTCTGTTGATTAATAAGATTCCATTGAACAATAATATGCTTAAGTTATATAGTAAACACCAGAACTTTTTGTGACCAAAATAGTTCTTTGAAAATAATTCTTTTCATATTTTGTATGTACAGGTGATACTAAATTATCACAGTGTTATACTTTAATTTCAGATTGTGTATTTGCTTAGGAAAAGCCCATATTGTATATACTTAACAAGTTAGTCCCAGGATTTTTTTTTACATTGCCTGTTTATATATCAAACCAACTATTCAATGTGTAAACCAGCTTTGAAGTATTTATAGCATTTATTCTACAACAGCTTTTTCCAGATCAAATGGATATTACTGTGGTCTGTATTTTTAAAAATAATCTTTTTCTTCCTAGGGTGTGGACATAACTACAGCTATGAATGATCGAGCACTGGCTCAGAAACGACTTAATGAAAACACATTTGATTTAGAGGCCATGTGCATGTTAAATCGTGCACAGGAACAGGTATGTTGCAAGTTTTCGTCAGCGTTTTGATGAACTTAAAGAAAGTAAATGGTTACTCTTCCTATTAGCTGATTTTTCTTATCTAATTAAATACAGATTTTTGGAAGCCTGGTGTATGAGCGTATGTTTAAAAATTCTACCTTTGTCTTGCACTTCATAACACTGATTTTTGAGGATAAGCAAAACATGAACCATAAACTTGCTAGACTTTGAGCTCAGACTTTAGGGTTAACATACAAAGATGCTCAGCTTTTTGAAGTGTCTGCTTACAAATGAGTGTTAATGACTGCAGCACTAGACATAAGCGAGGAATCATCGTGAAAATTGCTGAGAAGCACCAGAGAATTGCAAAGGAAAAACATGCAAATTTTTATTTTGGTCTTACATTTGATTTTTATTTTATAGATTGACGCCTGGGCTCAATCAAACTCCATACCTGGCCAGTTCACAGGAAGTACTGGAGCACAGATACTGTCCTCTGATGAGCTGACCAACAGTGGTCCGCAAGCATGGATTAGAAAGGTAGAAGTTACGCAAACATACTTGTCTAACTATCACATTTTAAATAGCAGCGGAAGTATCGGAAAATGCAAAAAATGTACCTTAAAAACCTATGGTAATGCATGTGTCAAATACAACAGGTTGAGTTAAACTCATTGTCTGATGAATTTAGATACTTGCTGCTGCTGTGTCCCATTTTGTTGTGCATTAAGGTGTTGCTTATGACATAGCGTACTTCGATAAGGTGTGCGTCTGGTATTTGAGTCAGATTGGTTCATATATACTGTTACTTTACACTGAAATGACATTCATGATATTGGTATGGTTGCAGTGGTAGGTCCATCACTACTTTTATAGGATTGGGACAAATCAGGCAAGGTTTAATCCTGATGTTACTGATGTCAGTGATGTTTTGGCATCAACTTCAGTGAACCAAGTCCCAAACTGCCATTTTGTTTGACTTGGTTCTATCTGATTGCTACTTTGCCTCTATTTGTATGACCAGGGTTTTCTGGGAGCCAAAGATTGGAGAATTAAACCAGGAGTCACAGTTGCGTTAAGTTTTATGTCATCCTACAGTGAAATAATTACCTCTCACTGCAGAGTAATACTGGCTTATTTTTGAGGTGTGGTGCGTCATACATACATGCGTTTTATAAGTTCAATAATTCATGCTTCATCTTTGAAAATGAATACTGAACTGGTTCTCTTTCAAGAAGTAGAACTGAGGAATTCAAGCAATACCCACCTTTCAGGCAAAAAGAATAATGAGTTCTGGCGGTCAATCTTGCAAGTAACGTAGTTGAGTGCACGCTGTATCTGCTTATCCTTCCAGAACGCGGTGTTAAGACAACCCTCAAAACTGGTAGATTAGATTTGAGGCTTAGGTAGAATTTTCCATAAACTTGGTGTAAACTGAACACAAAAATCTGGAATTACAACATCCTAAAAATAGAAATATTTTTGCCAAGATTCACTAACTTGTTTTTCCACTTTATATAGCCAAGCAATATAGACAGCCAGGCAACACAGGCATCCAAGTTACTTGCTAGATGGGAATCATTTGGACTTTTCTCAGTATTAATACACAGTGTAGATGATAAAGTCTGGTTTTTAACAATTATTAACTTTTGAGGTTGTAACAAGTGTTGGCTTTGATAAGATGCAATAATTGTCCCTGGCAGGGGAACTTAGAAATCTAAAGCACTCAACAGGGATGTATTGGTGAGAAAAGGAGAGCTTTCCCACCATGAGGTTTGTGAAAGAAGATCAGCAAGCGTGTGAGGGTTCTCCCTTTCTGCAGTGCCTTGAGTGGATTCCCAAGGCAATGGAAAGGGAGCATCTTTGATCATCTCTTTCCCAAGCCTCCTCTTCTCATCCCGTTTTCATTCCTTGAGGTTCTGTGGTGATCTTCTGTGCCTTACAGTAACAGGACTGTCCACTAACAAAAAATAAGTGGAGAAGGCAAGTGTATTTTCCCTCGGTCTTTTAACGTCGTGATCTGCTTTGAAAAAAAAAAACAAACCAAAAAAACCCAAACAAAACCCCCAAAAAAACCCCAAAAACCCAACCAACCAACCAACCCAACAAAATGCTTTGAAGAGAGAAAATGAGAGAAGATTCTGGTCTCTGGCTTGTGGACATGACTACTGTGAGGAGCAGAAGCATACTGGAACATTTTATTGAACCTAGAAATAAGAGTGAGCCAACAGAAGCATTTCTGTCTTTCCCGTACCTGTAAAAATGTAGTGGTTTGCAGTAGTAGGCATCCTCCCTAGCAAGCATCATGTGGTTTGTCAGAAAGGAGGCTGCTACTGGAAACAAGAAGAATTGTTGGGTGAAGAAGATGAGTACACAGTCCTTTTTCCTGCTCTGGCATTCCTCAGCTTGACTTCTTTTGCTCTTTCCAGGTTCCATATTTGCACGCACGTTGCCATCAAACTCATGAGATGCCAAGTAGTTACAGTTATGGGGCTACTCGAGTCTCGCCCTGGTTTTTTTGTTTGGTTTTTTTTTTTTTTTTTAATCAGGAACGGTGGGGCTTGTGAAAGGCTTCACAAAACTTAGGTTTGGTGAACTTAGTGTGGAATCACGTCCTGTGGTTAGAGAATGGTTTCACAGAAAAAAGTGAAGTAGGGATAATGGGTTATGAATGCATGTTATCTTTCTCAGTGACATCGATGCAAATCAACCATGAAATGCAAAGTACAGGTTGTATTTTACTTAAGCACTTGAAGTTGTGTAACTTAATCCTTGTTAATTATTCAGTGTAGCACTGGGAAATCAGACTTGTACTCCCTTTTTTATCCTAAGAAAATGCATTTTAACATTAAAAAAAATCTAGTATTTTTCTAAATTTTTCATCTGCTAGTAGGGCTATGGAGTTTCTTGGGGTATGTTGTATGTGTAAATTAATGCATGTTTCTGACTGGAAACATTTACTGAAGGCATTTTGCTTGGGAGACTGCCATAAGCAATTGCCATAAGGGGACTTGTGGACATGCACTGTTTAGCAGAAACAGAGCCCATGTCAGCTAGTTATTTTGTGTATCACTAAACAAAGAATTAGAACACGTACAGACGTTGTGCTTGACAGAGGTAATCACAAAAGCAGATAGATGTAACAGAAGAGTGGTCTCAGGAGGGGAGAAAAATTAAAGTACTTGGGGAACTTGTTTGATAAGCGCTGTCTTCACTTTGCATTTCTTGGATTTCAGCTTTTTTTTTTTTTGTACTTTAAAAATGACTCTGGAGAGGTAATATGTACTCAAACCAAAATATACCTGCATTTTCAATTTTATCTCAATAAAGTTTTGAGGGAATTAGTTACTGAAGTGATTAACGTGGCATACTTGAATGATCGACATATCGGTTAGAAGTATGGTTTATTTTTCTAAGTAACGTGCTAATTCATGATGTTCATGCATAGGGTTCTGAGCGGTATTTGTAAAGGCGTAATATGTTGTTAGGTTTCTTGTATCATTAAAACAGATTCATGAACAGTATTATCTTTTTCTTTGGAAAAGTGGTTTCTGTTTCAGTTTATCATCATTGGTGTAATCAGTTCACAAATATTACTGACATGGAGGTTGCTTCTTTTTTTTTCTTTCCTTTTTTTCTTACAAATACACTATGCTGCCAAATAAATGTCAAATTGGAGGAAGTGGTCAAATTTCCCCCCCCAAGGAAATTCTGTTGGTGTCTACTTACTCAGACTTTCCCAGACTCACGACTGGTTTCTGGATTTATCAGCTTCATTCTATAGCCTAAACTTGCTCTCTTAAAACAAGATTTCCGCAACATTTTATACGCACAGGGTGGTGCTTGGGATGTGTTTTATTCCATTGTGCTAAAGCATGACACACAGTTTTACTCTGGCCATTAGAATGCTCTACTTGGTGTAGCAAGTTCTGAAAAGTTAAAGCGTTCCTTCCATTCTTCCACAGTCGTAGCAGATGAGTAAAACTCATGCTAACGATAAAACTAAAGTATTGTGATTGTCACTTGCAGAAGGACTTCTGACCTTCTAACAAGGCCACTTACCAAAATACTTGTATTGCTGTTGCCTTAGACGACACGATGAGCTTTGCTTGGAAATGAAGGCCACACAACAAGGCAAATCACCTATATGTTAGTTACATTGGACTGATGCCCTGTTCAGTCCTCAAAATGTTGTTTTTTATTTTTCTAGCTCTCTTCAGCTTGCTTTCTGCTGATTGTATGCAAAAGTTGTGAACAGAAATCCTGGAGCTGATTGTGAGTGTAGTTTTTTGTAAGGCATTTGATGGGATTCTTCAGAAAGATTTTCTTCCTCTTGTATTGGGGAAGGAATGTAGCTGCTGCTAAAAATGCCAGTTTATTTAATGGAAAATTCAGCTACTTTGCAGGAGTTTTGCCAAAGATAGATACTTGTTCCTGGTATTTGACTCAGAGAAATTCTTTGGAGTTAGTCTTGATCTTTAAGCCCATTGTGCTATAGCTGAAACTGTCTACCTTTAAGGCTTTGTTGTCCTTTGCTTAATAAATTATTGCTCAAAAGAAATAAACCTTCCTTCTGACCGAATTGAGGTTGTAACGCCGTGTCAGCATTGTGAGAAGGAATGGGTATTTTCAGAGAGCTGAAATTGATGATGTATTTTAAGATCTCTCAAATAATTATGGCTTTAATATTTTGGATGTTGCAGGTTCTGCTTTATAGACTGTTCAGTTCAGCGCTGTATGCTGTCCTTTTCCCAAAGACAGCTGTTGCAGTTAAACGACGGTGACTGTCCAGCTTGTATTGTGTTTCAGAAAAAAAATCCTTTTGGGTGTGACTTTTTTTGTGTTTACTTATTTAAGCCCTTAAATTCTAATTCAGGCATTCATGTCTCCAAAATTTCTTGTCTTAATTTAGCTTTACAAGAGGGAATAGTTCTAATGAAAATTACTAAAAACCCTCTTAAGTGATCAGGTTTTAATGTGTAGCCTTCTTTTTAAAGAAAAAAGTGTTGACACAAGAATGTGGCTTGTTAGGTGTCTCCATCTGCTGGCAGAATGGAAGTGTGCTTTATTTGGTTCACTCTTCATGGAATTTAGAGATCAAAAGTTGAGAAGAGTGATGCTAAATTTACATGCAGACTCATGTAAATTACTCAAATTGAGATTAGTGAATGAAAGAGAACAATTATTTTTGTAAGTAATTATTTAATTCCAACAACAGTAACCAAATACTTAGAAACCTGAGGGTTTATTTTATTACATAGTGTTCAATTTGGTATCTCCTTATGGGCCAGATCTGCAAGGGTGCATAGCTGCTAAATAGTTTTGTGAAACTTTGCCTTATATGAATTTTAAAACTGAAAAGAAATGTTTATCTTCCTTCCCTGCTCTCATTAACATTTCTACTATTTTTACGTTTTCAAATGTAATTACAAATACAGCACTAGTTTTTACACATACTCTCTTAAATCATGAGTTGAATTGTCTGAAGTTGTTTGTCATTAAATTACAAAAAAATAATTAAAGAGAATATAATTGTACGGGTGACATTAGAGATTTATATTCAGTTTATTATTAAACCAAACAAAGCAAAGCTGAAAGAAGAACTTTTTCCCCTGCTGCAGGCCACTTTTGCTTCTTCAGTAAACTGAATCAAAGTAGGCTTGTCCTCTCATTGGTACCAGAATTACTTCATTTAGCTTTTTAGGGTAATACACAAGTACAGCTATTCTGCAATGAAACAGAACTTTCATGTCTAATTCCCTGTTGTCTTGTTTGTTGTACATGTTTAAGAATCAGCCTAGTGTCAAAAATTCCTACTAAAGTTGTCAGATAGGATTCTGAATTCAGACATTAGAAGAGGTGTTTTTAATAAACTGCACTTTGGAATTTAGAACTCTTTTCAGTATTTGGAATTTGTTCAGGCTCTGGTAATTCCCATATGGGACCTCGCAACTTTGATTTTTAATTTTTTTTTTTTTTAAACTATCAATAGCAGTATTTTGATTCTATTCTCTCTTTTCTACACCACTCCTAACCTCCGAATTAGTACATTTACAGGTGTGATGAGAAAGCTGTGTAGCATTAAAGTGACCTCATCAAGAAATTGCACTCTGTCATTTGTGAACTGAATACACGCTGGTGATAATGAAACAGATGTTTATATTGAAAATTCTATCATTGCAAAGCAGGTACAAAAGAGGAATCGGAACCCAGGGTGACATTGACTGGGGTTTGTATCATTCTCGGCATGGTTGCCCTTTTCTTATGAGAGGTTCCTGGAAAAGAGAGGGAAGGATGAAAATGGAAGTAAGTAAAAGCCATTCTAGGTGTGTAGATGAGGCAGTTTGTATCGAAGAAACTGATTGTCTCTGTGTACACACACACACTGCATGGTCTGCACCAGTCAGAAAAATGTTGGAGAGGTGCGCTTAGCCCCTCCACTCTTCCATCAGACCACTTTGTTACTAAATGCAGCATCCAGTTGCATGATTGATGGATATTTACTGTTTAATAGGTAAATATTTGGAGAACTCCTACCACAATCTTCAGCAATTTTTTTTTTTTTTTAGATTTTTTTAAAACCATGTATAGTGGGGATTGCACACATGCATCATTAGTATGTGTCGGTTGCCAATTTGAAATCCCCTTAAAAATATATTACCCTTAGTCTGTGCAAAAGTAAGACTTCTGGTTTTGTTTACCTACAAATTGAAACTAAGGACCTATCGGTCCTTTGTCCAAATCTGGGAAATGCTTACTTTTGCAAGCACAACTCAAAATAAAGGGGGAAAAAAAAATTGTTCTATTAATTTGCTTTGCAAGTAAGTAAAATTTTCACAAAAATACTAGGCATTGTATCATCTAACCTACTGTGCAAAATAACTGATGGACTTATCAGTGCCAGTGTGTAAACTTGTATATTTTAAGGCAAGCAATTTTTTGCTGTGATGGAAATGATTGACTTACTTACTTGGGTCAGTGGGGGGGGCAGAAGAGAGATGATAGTTCACAGAATAACCTGTGAACTTTCACCCCTCTATATGGAAACTTGTTTCAGGGTCAAATCCTTGTAGCTGCCTTCTTGCCACGGTCAATGCCAGCCCTACTATTCACAACACTGCGGCCATCGAGGCCTAGGTACGTAAACATTTAAGGAGTTTTTAAAGTTCTTTACATCAAAACAGATTTTTAAAATTTCTGTTTGTAAGCTTTCACCATTTAACAACTATTGTGTAATGATGATTTGAAAGAATGTGAAGACTACTGCTGCTAAACTGTGTGGCTAAGCGCCTTTTTTTCCTTTTTTTTTTAAAAAAAAAAAAGACAAGAAAAACCTGTATGTTTCATGTGGATTTTCAGAGTAGAACTTGAATGTGCAACTGCTGTATAATAAAATGGGGAACTTTTTTTTTTATATATTTAAAATACGCCTAAACACTATGTGAATGTCATTACTAAATGTGCTTGTATTTTGTTCAATAACTAGGTACACTTGGCACACATGTTGCCAGTTAAACAGTTAACACTGCCTCCTTTCACGAGATGAGAAGAGATGCATTGGAACCAAAGTAGCGTGTTTAAAAATGGACGGTTATCGTTTTATTAAATACATATGTCTGAAATGGGTCACTTGCCACTTTTGGATTGCATTAGAATTTTCTTAAGTTGTTCTTTTTTGAAAATATTGATTTGTGTCTCGTGTGTTTGCGTGAATTCTGGTTTATACAAAATGTTAATGTATATAAAGCTAAGGTGTTTTTTTTTTTTTTAATTGAGTCTGTGAAAGGTTGTTAGAAACATTTTTTTTGGAAGCTCCCACTTAGTTTTTAAAATCCCAGTGCTAACTTTAGGAATTGTTTTACTTTTCTTTTTCTGGATAGGATCAGTTCTTAAGAGCAGCCCCTGTAACTGGAGGAATGGGAGCTCAACTGATGAGAAAAATGGGCTGGAGAGAAGGAGAAGGGCTTGGCAAAAACAAAGAAGGCAGCGTTGAGCCGATTATGGTCGATTTTAAGACAGATCGAAAAGGTAAGCCCTTCCTTAAATGTCTCGTGGCAGTATAAACTTCTCATGTCTGTTTTGGAGATGGGCAAAATAACTTCAAAGTAGTAAGCTTTTTCTGGGTGAGCTTCACTGCAAAAATTAACCAAAGGATGTAGATGATTCTGGTACCAGTTTTTCAAGCTCTGGATTATGTATATAGGCTTTGTCCTTATGCCTATGAACTCTTCCAGATGTTCTTTAACTTTCCCTAACCTTCACCTTCCATTTTAAAAAGTGCTGCTCAGTGGTTCTTAAATTAGGGATGTGCTTCAGTTGGATGTGTGGAGAAGGCACGGAGAGGGAAATGAATTATGGAAAAACCGTTGTGGTTGGTCTAGAGAAAGTGGCTGAAGTAGGAATGGGGCAGGATAGGAGATGAAATAGTTTGATCAGTTTTAAACTGGGGTGAAGGACAGAGGTGAGAGCTACAGAGTTGAGTTACTGCTGCCTTTCAGCTGAAATCCTGGCATGAACAGACTGTCCTACTGATGTTTGTAGGTCTTCCAAATGGATTCTCTTTTCTTTTTTTCTCTGTCTGAGCTCCCTGCTGTTCCACCTCCTAGTTTGATCCAGCTGCAGGCACCTCTGCTCAACTACAATGATGTTTTCCTGACTGTTTCCAAAGATTTCTTTAGCAGTCTTTCCTTCTCTTTATATAATTCATGGCCACAGGTGGGGAACTGTTGCACTTGTCTCGTTTGATTCATCAGAACTATCCTTTTAATTACAAGCAGTGTGCTGCTACTTAAGCTGGGGCAGCATGGTTTATATGATTGGCCATCTTGCCAGCATGTTCAGCAAGAGTTCTGTTTTCAGAGTGAATGTTCATTAAAATTTTCCATCTGCAATAAAAGTTCTAACCATTGTAAATACAAGATGCAGAATTTCAGCACTCAAGATTTGATTTAATTGTTCTATTATGCATGTTACCAAAACAAACAACTTAGCATTTTGACTGCAGGAGAACAAATTCTTCCTGTTGTTGTCCTAAATTTTTTTTTTTAAAAAAACTGGGAACCTTTAATATATTAAATAGATCACACCTAATATTAAAGCATGAAAATACTTTGAATTATGGGTTTGTGTTTGCTTTTGTCAGTGATCATAATTGAGCTCAGAAGAAAACAGAGCACATAAATGCAGATCTTGTGAAGTTTATTTGCAGAGATACTGCTGGAGGAACCTTTAGGTGTCAAAATGGTTAATTCTCAATACAGAGATAGTTCAGTACTTCTCAGGTGAGCAAGCTAGCAGTGAAAATAGACTTAAACATTTAAATATTAAGTGGAAAGAGAGAGAAAATGAGAAAGCAAGCCTATGTTATGAAAATACCTGTTGCTTTCTAGGTTCTGAAGACCTTCTAGCAGCATAATATGGTTTTATAAATAGAGAAGTGCAACAATCTCAAAGTACAGAACACATAATACAGACTTTTTCATTGTATACGAACAATGACCAAACTTGCTTTTCAGCTGTTTTTCTTCTGTGCAACCTTTCTGTGTAAAGAAAGAAAGGGGGAAAAAAAAAAATTACGGGCAACAGAGTGATTGCCAAGAAAATCTTTGAAAAATACTTTGTTACTTAGTTACAGTGATCTTTGTAGATTTTTATTTTTTTTTTGTCTTGTAAAGTTCTCAATGCTGGTAAGAGTTCCTTCAGCTTAGCCTAATTAATACCAGTCAGAGGGAAGAAATTGAAAACAGTCTATTTCAGTATTATTTTTCTCCAGCAGCCTGCATAACATGGTGATGGACTTTTGTGGTGAGGAGAGAAGGGTTAGCTCCATTCATTATGTTGCTTGTTTGTTGTCATGACGTAGGAAAGCGGCAGTATTGCTGCACGACCTGAGTATTTTGAGCATTAAAAACCTTTTGGTAATACACAGCTGTGTCACAGCTCAAGTTTCCAGTTCTAGAAGTGTGCCCCGGGATCCTCACGTGGTTTCTGATAGAAATTTCCTTAATGCCTGCAGAATGTGATACTGAAGTTTCAAGCATCAAGCCCTAAGGCACGAGACAGGATCAGGTCCTTACTGTGCTGGGCATTCTGTACCAGATAGTTTGCTCTTTCTGCTTCTGAATGCTCGGTCTTCAATGACAATTAAAAATGTTAGATGGAATTAAAGGATGCCTCTTCCTGGCAGATTAATCTGATAGATTAATCTGAAAATACTAATAACCCTAGCGACGGCTGGGCTTTGCTTTAATTTCATAGCTTTCAATTATTTTATTATTACCATGTCTGCAGTCTTATAATATCCACAAAAGATCTAAAGGTGTTCTGTGTTGATAAAGAATAATCTTTAATGTTAAGTCTGTAATATAGCGAGACAACTTGCATTAGGAAGAGGCAGTATATTTTGTGCATTACAAAGAAGCAACTGAAGAACAATTATACATTTATGACAAGTAGCTGCAAAACTTCAAACATTAGTGTTGACACTTTAATGTATAAAAAAGTCAATTTTTTAAAAGGTCTGTGTAGAGGTTTAACGAAAAGTCAGAAATTTGCAAAAGGAGTCTGCCTGTTAAGTAAGTAAACAATTATTGTTTTGTAAGGGTTTTTTTAACACATTTTTAGAACTTAACCCCAAATAAAATACTATTTCTAGGCGCAGGAACAAGCAGTTAGCAAAGGAGTTACTCAGTAGGCTGCACTAAGACATGAACCACAAGGTTGTCGGCCTCTGCCGTAGCTTTCCCTTAGGCCCTGTTTTTTCCAGACCCTGAGCGAGATCTGCAGTTCCCTCCGACAGCAATGAAACCAAACCCTTCGTCAGCCTTGCTGTCCGCCAGTAAATTGTTGGTTGTCTGTGTTTGAAGAAGCTTGGTGCATCGGCAGTTTCTTGGAGTCCATTGCAGCTTTTTTGAAAAAATCCCTCTTGAGATATCAGGGACAAGATGTGGAAGACAAGTGTCAGTGACTTAGAGTGAGGGAGAGACAGTATTCGTGCGAAGAATGACATCAGAGGTGGTGTGGGTTTTTTTTTCCTTTGGTGGAAATCTTTTGTTATTTTAGGTATAAAATTTTGTAAGGGGGGGTGGGGAAAAAGAAACGTTGTTTCAATGATTGTTGTCTACAAGGGTTTCATGCCACTTGAAAAGTCTCTGGAGCTGCATGAATATTAGGATGAAAATCTGGTAAGGAGGGAAGGATTTTCTTTTAAAGCAAAACAAAACAAAATGCCAACCAAAAAAAAAGCTGAAGGAACAGGAAAAAACTGGAAGCAATTGCAGTATCTCCCTGTCTTTGGTGAATAAAGCCAGGAACAGAAACAAATCGAGGTAAGAAACAAAGTAATATTGAAGGATTGAAGTCTGAGAAATTCTGAAAAACCACTCAGGTATTTTGTTCAGATGTATTTCAGGTAATGGCAAAATGAGTGGAAAGAAACTTGAGTCACTTAGTAAGCCTGGCATGGGTACTGGCATTTGATAAAGTTTCAGCAATTGTTATACTTTAATTCTTACTCTTGTAAGATTTTAAAAAGGAAAATGTTCAGCCTCCATGTTTTGCAGTGACTTCCATTGGAACTTGTGGTCTTTGTATTGACTTGGTTGGGGCCCAGTTGCATGAATTTCTGCTACTTTATATTCAGATGTGATTGAAATCACGGTAATTGGGCTGTGAACTTGCACGTTAAGGATAAGTATTTGAACATTGTTAAATAAAGAGAGCACATGTTATAAGAACACCACTGAGTTACTCATATCATAAAAGGAGATAGTAGGTACACTTTGCCCTGTTTGATGGAAATACTTCAAATGCTTAGTATGTTAGAGGCAAACTGTTAAGGTAGTGGATGACTTTTGGGTTGCACAAAACAATTCCTGACTGAGAGAATGTTTTTACGTTTCTCTCTTGTTCCGTGTTTCTCCAAAGAGGGCACGGAAAACCAGGTGTTTCCTAACTTGCATGAGACTCCTCGAAGTTTTCTACTACCTGCCTTGTTAAGAGTCTTACTAGAGCAGTTGAGAGGAATGTTACATGTGGTACGGAGGGGAAAAAATGCTAGATGAAGGGGACGTTTGAAAGGCTTCTGACAGAACAGTTATTTGGTGTCTCCAGGTTTCAACTCCACTGATAGATGTTATTGCTTTACTGATGAGAATACTGAAATTGGGCAGGAATCATAAATGTAAACTTTATTGTGTTTTGTTTAGGGCTTGTTGCTGTGGGAGAGAAGGCACAAAAGAGATCTGGACATTATGTTGTGATGAAGGATCTTTCAGGTGAGATTCTTACTTGTCTCATTTTAAATGGTCGCTTTGATAGAGGCATTGAAATTTCAAATACGTTTTATCTTTCAGGTAAACATCCAGTTTCTGCGTTGATGGAGATCTGTAACAAACGAAGATGGTCACCACCTGAATTTGTGTTGGTAGATGATAGTGGGCCTGATCATCGCAAACATTTTATCTTTAAGGTGTGTTTGAGTTTCCTTGTTTGCTGTTGGTTTCTCTATTAAAGGTGATGTAAATTCATGTTTGTATTTGTATATGAACATACAAGCCAGCTCAGGGATGGCTGAGGACTGCTAAGCAGTGCCTTGCTGGTAAAAAGTCAAAGTCCCGTTTCTGTAAAGGCCACATCAGATCTCTCAAGCACATTAATCTGTAAATCCATCAAGAAACACACTGTTGTACTTCTTACTAAAATTATTAACCTGTGTGGTATCGTAGTCTTGCTGTTTAATTGTAGGTGTGGTGATAAGTCTCACTATTGTGAAGGTAGTGAGCAAGATGTAGGTATTTTTGTCCTTCAGTTAGCTTATGATGTGGGCTTTTCTTTTTCACATAATACCTTGTATTAGCTGTTACTATTTGGAAATTGATTGTGCTGACAGACCAGATGTGAATTTTGTCTGCCTCTAAAGAGGAATTACATAGAGGATGTGCTTAAAGGAGCTATGTAGGGCCGCCTCGAAATGGAAATGGAAGAGGCACTTTCTAACGCTTTCTTTTTTCCTCTCCCTCTTTCCTAAACAGGTGAGAGTCAACGGAAACGAATATAGGCCTACTTTTGCCAGCCTTAATAAGAAGCATGCTAAAGCCACAGCAGCAACTGCGGCTCTCCAAGCGATGGGACTTGTACCAAAGGAAAGCATGGTTAATACCACCATGTTTAGGAGTGCCTCACACCGCTAGATATTGTTTTTTATATTGACATTATTTCAGATAATTTTACTCTGCACAAAAATGGTATTTGCCCTTTCATGTTGTAAATACATTGGCAATTCCCACGTTGTAAAAACTGTACAGACACCTTCAGGTTTTTCTTTTGTACCATCAAAATGTATTTAAATCATACTTAGTTTTTGGTATGTTTATATTGTTTACATTAGTGATGTAATTATTTCTTAAATGACTAAATCGGACGACAGACTCTGGAGGCATCAGTAATCTAAACCCTTGTTTTAAAACTCATGCAATTTCTCTTCAATATGGAATGTTAACACTTTCATACCGTTTTGTACAATGCTGCAGTTTTCCCCGGTCTCGGTAAAGCTACTCGTGCGCTTTTGCCGACAGCTGGTAAAAGGTCGTGCGGTTTCCCTTAGCCTGGTCGAGGCTGGCGCGTACTGCTGGACAGATACCGGGCCAGCGCCGTGACCCCTGCGAGCCAGCGCGCGGTGGTAGCCCTGTTGTACAGAGTTAACGCCGTGGCTTCTCTTTAGAGTTTGGTTTGGGGGTTTCGCTCGGTGACGCGCTGCGACTGGCCACGCAGCCCGTGCTCTAGGACGTACGTGATGAGGCAGAAGCTTTGCTTTCACAGGGATGGCAGAAAGTCCAGCAATGGAATCGATGAGACTTGCAATGTAAAGGTGACTCTCCCTGCATGTTCTAAGAAGGGAGATGATGGAGTTGTCTATTCCAAACCAATTAACACACTGCCTGATGTTGATTGTATGATTTGTGGTTAATGTGAATTTTAAACTCTAACAAATCTACAACTGGATTCAGGGGGGGAGGGAGGGGATAGAATGATGCTTAAATTGTTGTACCCAACTTGGTCAATAAAGCAGCACAAGTTCATAATCTTAATCGCTGGTCAGTAAACAGTACTTAAAATGTATGCCAAAACAACTTTTTGAAGAAACGCACAGTATAAAAATACGCTTTATGAAGATTATCAACAGCCGTTAGGGTTGCAGAATCAGTTCTAGTTGTTTGTGGTCGCTTTGGGCTATTGCCAAATTAACTACTTGGGCTTCAGTTTTCTGTAATGGTACTCTGCCCTCAAGGAGACAGCCTCATCCAGAGTTTTGGCAGTTTGACAAGGGAGAGGATGTAGAAAGCTTTGCTTTTTTTTTTTTTTTTTTTTAAACTTTAAGAAGTATTAGTACTTTAGCTATGTGCACTTTGAAATGGAAAGGGCATTGTACACCAAATTTGTCCAAGTTAGGAGCAGATCAACATGATTCACAGACTCCAGTAGTTCAGGTGCTTATTTCAGAGAAGTCTTTTTTGAGATCTCTGTGTATTCCATCTACTGACCAGAGCTTCGTCCAGGACAGGAACAAAATGCAGGTTGTACGCAGTAAGGCTGTGCTCAGGCTGGAAGTGAATGACCTTGACGATGGTAGTAGGAACGTGGAGGTGAAGAATTTCTCCTACCTCTTCTTCCACAAAGCAAGGTGACGTGTGTGCGGTCTGTCAGCTGTGACAGAACAAGGTGTCTGTCTTTGCCCTGAAGGGACAAGGATCAATGTCTGGTGGTGCGTACAGCAGAGAAATGGTGTTGTGTTCTCCACCACACACTTGTGAGAAATAAAGCCCCTTACTAGTCTGTCAAAGCACTTTAGAAATGTCAAAGTTAATCTCAGTTTTCGTGGACGTAGTTGTCTTTAATTAAACTTTTTTCCCTTTGGCTTCTTGCCTTCAGTCTCTGACTAAATATTTGAAGATCTCTGTGCCTCGTTTGCTGAACTGTTTTTCAAGCTGTGTGTTAAAACCAAAAGTAAGTCTGATGGTACAGCAATGGAAAGATCTGCTCTCGGAGAACTGGGTGTTGTATCTGTCTTAGCTGAAGTCTGACTTTCTGATGTATGACTTAAAGTAATTAACTGGGGATGTGGGAGGAGCTCCTAATCAGACTTTTGTTTAAATGACTGGTTTGATAGTGCTAAAACATCAGAGACGTTGATTGTTCTGTTTAGTGTGTGGTGTCCGTGTCAGCACTGGTTTCACAGCTGTACGGTGTCAAATCTAGGAACATACAGTCTTTTGTATTTTGTGTTTTGGTTTGGGGTTTTTTTGGTCTATATTCCCCATGTATAATGTAAAGATATATGTTATCTCACAGCAGCAAGGAGCAGAGGAATTCAGTCCCATTGAAGACTCCATTTAAAAAAATAAAATATTTAGGAAAGTTCTGGATTTCATGCCGTAAAGACATGGTACCGTATGTGGATTTAACCTTTGGTCTTAAGGAAGACTTAAAGAAAATAATTAAGGTCTGTAATGCCCTCATTATGACAGTTCTTGATTTTGAGGTTTTGGTTTTAGTTTCATTCCTTGTTTAGAATGATACATGAATCTGAAGATAGTGCAGCGCTGTGCTTCTGTTAAATTTGTAAACTTGAATTGGTTTGAGTGTCCTTTGCATGCAGGAAATAGAGAAGTAGTGATATATTAAAAAGAACAACTAGGAAACAATCTCGTGGAACCTGGTTATTTATGCAGCACTTTAGCTGTCTTAAAGGGGAATAGTCTGTGACTCCTGCTGAGGGAAGACGTGGTCCGTTTGGCTGTTGGATTTCCTTTTGCTACAGAATTATTTATTCTATATATTTGCTACAGAATTATTTTCCTAGAAGTAATCTCGCTGAAAGTGCTTCTGACTTCCCCGTCACATGAGGAAGGCGCGTTTTGAAGCGGATGCCTGAGAACTTGTAGCCAGCTTCCACCAGAAGGATTTCTTGGCAGCCTTCTCGTTTGTAGTTTTTAAATAGGGCTGGAGGAGCAGGAAGGCGAAGTTCCTATGTCTTGGAAAATTTGAAATTGCCTCTTAAAGTGCAAAACCCTTATGAAGTCTTAATCAACTGCTACAGTCTCTAGCTCTCCCAAACAAATCATAGTTGTGATGAAAACTCACATTTGGACAGGCTAAATAAATAAATTTTGCTGCTCTATAAGCGTCTGGGATAACGGTAGCATTTACTGAAAATGCCTTTAGGTGGAAGAGCAGCAGCGTGGGTGGTGTGTGCTGCTGTAGCTCTGGCGCGGAAGATCTGTTGGAGCCAAGGGTGCTTCAAGCACAGCACTGAATCCCAGAGCTGGGAGCAACTGGAAGATGCTGAAATTGCAGGGAAAGCTGTGACTTCAAACCAACACAGTTTACAGTGCAAGGAGGAGCTGCAGCTCGGGTAATGGTGCAACGCCTACGATAAGGAATTTGGTGGTAAATTTTTGAAATTGCACAATTCTAGACTTCAAGAACATAACCGCAATTCAATTTTTTTATTTTTAATGACTGCAAGCTATTGGGGTTGGGGTCTGTCTGTAGCTCTCGCACGCTAGAGGTGAAAATACCAACTGGAGCTGAAATTAGTAATAATTACTGTATTGCCTAGGAACGTGCTCAAGTCCACATCCCGAAATGCTTATTGGCTTGATAAAAACAGCTTTCCCCTATCGCTTTCAGTAGCTTGTTCCATGTGCTAACGCACTCCGTCAGCAGCCTCGCTCCTCACGCGCCCTGGGAAGGGGTTGCCTGTGGGGGACGTGGGGTGGGGAGCTCCAAGCTCCCCTGCACGACAGCAGGCAAAGCTCCGCTCCCTTCGGCGCAGGGGACGCGGTCGGTGTCGGAACCGCCATTAAGGTCCCCCTGGCGCTGGGCTCAAGGCTGGTTTCCAGCAGATGAGGCTGTGACTGCGGGAGGGAGACAGGACGGATAAAAAAGGGCGTTCAGTAAACTGTTAGTCTCTTAAAAGTGACTGGAAATGAAAGCATAGTTAACACACCCAGTCTTCTGCTGTTCCCCACGAGCACTGGATTTTCACTCTTGCTGTTACTAATCAAAGGGGAAAAGTTCAGTCGTTTCCTTCTAGATTAGTTAGGCAGTAGTGTAAAGATGAATTCAAGTTGGATTGTACTGCCCTGAACCACCAGAAACAGTATTTGACATTATCGCAGTGTTTTAAGCTGCCTTTTTTCCATCAGGAGAGGGGCTTTCTCTAGTTTTTCTGGGCGTTTTGTTCAGTGTACCACTGGGCTGACAACGTCCTGGCAGTTACTGTAAAGTAAGAAACATAAAGCGTTCCGGTGTCGTGGTATACATGCTGTATTCTTGGGGTAGGATCCTTCAAGGGGTGTCGATATAAAGTACCTGAAAGGCACAGGAAGCTCACATCATGCCGCAATCTGCAGTAACTTGTTCTCCTGCCCACATTTTTAAGTTTACAGGTTGTTTCCTCGAGAAAGCCCTGGCTCCAGTCTGAGGTTATTGTGAGAAACTGAGGATTCTGAGGGGGTGAGCAAACAGCCTGGTAGTGATGGCGAGGACAGGTGACCACATGGGGTGAGCATGGCTTTATTTTCTGTGTGCAGTTGAATTAGAAATCTTGCTGGAGTGGACAAGCACGATGGTATCCTACGTCTGGCTCTTCAGCTTCAGTATGCTCTGCTGCTGCAGGGCTGTGATCACCTGGTAGCCGGGTGAAATGTGACAGAACGCCTCCAACACAAACAGCTTTGAAACAGGCTGCGATCAACCTGTGAGTAGCCTTCTGTCTTGCTGTGACCATACAGGTCCCCTGCTGCCTCTCATTTTCTCTGCTGTCGATTGGGTGGCACAGCTTTTATTCTTCCAGCTTGTTCAGATTCAGGCCGTAGTTTGTACAACAGCTGTGTAAAAGTCTAGCTCATTTTAATCAAAGTCAGAGGAATGGGAATACAAGGCGGCTGAGCCAAGCAGGTCTGAGGAGTCTTAAACCTTGAGCCCCCCGCTTTGTGTCCGTCTTTCATCTGTCTCACTAGAGTTCAGAGCTGACTTTAAACGGAGGTGCAGCATACCAGGGTGGAGCTAGTGGGTTTCTGGCAAGGTGCTGTGAGCCCTTTGCCAACAATTCCACCCATCCAAAATGGTTCTGAGTTACCACCCAAAGCAGGAGCAGAAATTCTGTACTTCAGGCCAGAATCTGCATGTGCAGGACAACTACGGACCTTGCGGACACCAGTCAGACCAATAAAACAGATAATCACATTTTTATCAAGTTTTATTTAAAAAAGGTTTTCTAAAATTCAAAAGGAGATGTCCAAGGCCTTTTAAAGGAAATGAAGGAAAAGGCCTTTGACGTGTTTTATGATGGGTGATGTGCAATGGTTGTTGTCTGTGACGTACAACTACGTTGTATCCCTCCTGGTAGAAAGCAGCTGTTCCCCCGTAGACCCCAGTGAAGCACAGCAGCTGCACAGTAGAGAGCATCCTTTTCCACCAAGTGGCACCAGCATACCTAGGCCTTCCAGGTGTAAGCATAATCCTTCATTTCCAGAAATCGGATGGAAGATTTTCCCAATGTTGGACACTGACTCAGTTGATCCAGAGTCTTAGGATGCAGCCCACACATGGGAAGATCTTTGTGTATGGTTTCCTGTGGAAAGTCACGTGAAGAAGAGACATGAATAGGTATTTCTGTTTGAAATGTTCGTTTGCGTACTGCTGGGGAACTCCTGAAAAGCCAGGTTTCCAATTATCCCGTTTCAGAGGGAATGACAAGACACAAGGACTGCCAGGAGGTGATCACACGTAATGGGGTGTAAACCCATGTAGGAAGGGAAAGTTCTGTGTCACTTGGTGTCCTACAGTTTGTAATAAAGCTACTATTCCTAACAGGAATGACTGTCTCCGGTAGTTTCCTTACCTTGTTTAAGGCAGAGCTTGCATCGCCAAGACCAGTGTTAAGCACAGCGGTTGGCTCGTGGGTGTAGAACACGGCAGAGAAGGCGCCTCTCTGCGCGGACCTGAGCACTGTGGTCAGTGAATGCAGAGAATGAGGCAGGACAGGACCCGCGATCTCCAGACTGAATACGTCCTCGTACGC